CAACAGCCGCACAATGAGATTGAACTCTCTGGTTTTGGAATGGCTATTACCACTTAAATCTCAATAAGTCAAATTTTGAATTTGCAACAGCACAAAATCCAAAATTGCTGCAAAGGACCACCAAACGGATGAATTTGGTGGTGAAGAACAAATCGTCAGATCAAACGGATGAAAAAAAAAGATGCTGTGACCAATTCTAGATCGGGAAATCGCCGGAGTGAAAACCAATAAGCTTCTGCTGCGCAAAGAACAATAAAGAGTCCAATAATTTGGACAGAACAATCGGAAAGACCAATAGGCTTCTGGTCGCCGTGAAGCTTCTGCCGAACACACGATCACACACAAACACTCGATCGCCGAAGGGAAATTCGCCGATGGGAAATTCACTGGCACGATCACACACAAACACACGATCGACGGTGTGAGTCGATCGAGATCAGCACCGAAAAAAAACTATTTTGCCCAGGGTTTGGCTCCGATACCATGTAAAAATTTAGAGTAAAACTGATCTGATTTTATTAATCACAAGCAAGTGTATATATACAAGTACAAGCGGGCTTAGGGTTATAAGTTGGAAGTGGGCCCGATAAACTAATTACAGTCCAAAACTACAAATACCCGCTAACAACTTGTGATTTCACCATATACTTTTTATCTGTATACATATAGTAATAGGGAGATATCCAATTCTCTTAATTACTCCGTATGATATCAATCTTTTTGTATATTTTTCTTTTTTTTTTCTGCAGAAAGGACTGAGGATGGAAGCAACGGAGATCTTGCAGTTGATTTTTATCATAAATACGAAGTAAGAACATTTTTTTTTGTCAAAATTATAAAAATTTGATCATAATTTTTTAAAAAAAATCTCCATTTTTTTCTTGAACGGTACTGTCTCAAAAAAATTGTGGTGTAGTTATAAAGAGTATAAACGTAAGAAAGTACAATACTCCGTACAATATAGTGATTTAGTTATAATATAAACGTAACACTCATATTTTTTTAATTTAGGTTTGATAAATACCAAGTATAACATGTTTTTTTTGGATATTTAATTTAAATATGTAAGAAAATAAATGTAAGATTTTTATAAACTTACCATGCACGAACTTAGCGAATTTTCTTTAACTAATACGGAGTAATCAAATATAATGTCCCTTAAAAAAGTCAAATATTATACTAAAGACCTTGTGCTCTTACTTCACCAAGGTGACTCTTCTAAATGGAATGTCACGATTTCATCTTTCAATTCTCATAAAGTTATTATCGCTCAAAACATAGTCAAATAAATCTTAAATGTCTACTAGGTATGTTTAATGGAGTATTAAAAGAATACAAGCTTTGTCCAAATTATTCTTCATGTTTACTAGCTATTTCAATCCTCTCGATAACTTAAATTTGCATTGAGGGGTGGATTGGGGTCTGAACTCAGTGGGGGGTTTGCCACGGAAATTAGCTAGAGGGTAAAAACTATCATTTTTGCAAATGGAGCATCATAAGTTTCCTAATTTGTCCAGTGGCTTCTGAAGTCATTGATAATCAGTGCCTATAGAATCAGGATGTAAATGAAAATGTGAATTTAATGCGGAGTATATATACAGGAAGACATCAAGAGAATGAGCAGTGAACTTGGAATAAATGCCTTCAGATTCTCCATTGCATGGTCAAGAGTAATCCCTAGTAAGTATAGTATATATATGTAGTTCCTCCATTTATATTTTCATTTGAATTTTAATGTATCGCAAAAAAAATACAATGATCAATTAATTGTAAATAGAGGGTGTATATTTTTGTTTTCTCTCATTCCCTATTAAAATTATTTTGAATTCAATTTATTTAAATATTAATATAGAATGATAGATTAAATTTTTTACACGATAAATGATTGACATATATGGTGGTTATATATCGTTTTGGAATGCCCTAACATTAAAGATTAACGGATTCAATAATGTAAAACCAACAATTTGGGACCAAACCTAGCCGGATTCAGTAGTTTGTTATGTAGCATTAATTACTGGATGTTTCGCACATGTTCTTACCAAAAACAAATTGGTTTTATAGAATTGATAAATAAATAAAGTCATACTCCTTTCTTTCTCAAAAACACTTTTTTTCAAATTTTTTATTTCTAATAAAACACTTCCACTTTCTATTAAAAAAACCACTTTTATCTTACTTTTTTATACTACCTATCACATCATACTTTTTTTAATAATATATCCATCATATCTTACTTTTATGTACTCCCTCCGTCCCTGAAAACATTTCTCTTTTCTTTTTTCATCCGTCCCAAAAAACACTTCTCATTTCTATCAAAAAGTCACTTTTACCACTTACATTTTCATATCCTACCTATTACATCATACCTTTTTACTAATAATTTATCCATCAAATCATACTTTTACCCATCACATCAAAGGACATTTTTGGAAATACAATACCAAAATACACTCTCCTTAAATCTCTTTTCAAAATCAAAACTCCCATGTTTTTTGGGACGGAGGGAGTATAACATTAGGGCAAAATTGGAAGTTAACTAGTATAATTTAATACTTTTTTATTTTTACACTTGGTCAAAATTGAAACTCTTTTTAAAAACGGAGGGAGTACTTTAACTTCTAGAGCAATAGATTTGTTCCTGATAATTGCAAAACCCGAATTAACCCTTACGACATTGTTCTCTCGACCAATCGAGTAACATTACTAGGCTTAAAGTTAAATAAATAAATGAACAAATGTTTGTAGGTGGAAGGGTTAGCGAAGGAGTGAACGAGGAAGGTATATCATTTTACAACAAGGTCATCAATGAAGTTATACGCAACGGTAATTAATTACTTCATTATATTCCTCCCATGCATAAAACTCTAAGGATTATATTATAATGGAGCAATAATATATACTAAGGAGTAATTATTGTGTCTCATGTATCTTAGGGTTGGAGCCATTTGTGACTATATTCCACTATGATGTTCCTCAAGCACTTGAAGACAAGTACGGTGGCTTCTTGAGCGAAAGGATTGTGTAAGTCCAAAAACAGACCATGTCCTTAATTGCACCCCTATTTGTGATCGACTTTGCTAATGATGAACAAATGAAAACAGGTCTGATTACAAGGATTTCGCGGAACTTTGCTTTCAACGATTTGGAGACAGGGTGAAGCATTGGATCACATTCAACGAGCCATATCAATTTAGTATGGGCGGGTGGGAATCGGGTATGTCCGCACCAGGGAGATGCTCTTCTTGGGTGAACCGGGCATGCCAAGCTGGTGACTCATCCACAGAACCTTATATCATTGCCCACAATCTCCTCCTCGCCCATGCCCATGCTGTCAATTTGTTCAAGACTAAGGTAATACTCCCTCTATCCTAAAACAGTTTTTCCGTTTCTATTTACGATATTTAACCGACTCTATTTTTCAATTCAATTCATTTGATTTTAGGTGTAAAATTAAAAAATAAAATTTATATACTCGTATTAAAAAACTACATCAAAAGTTCTGTAAAAAGATGTGACAAGACTATATTATTTTATCAAATAACTAATGAAAATGGGTAAAAAAGACGTTATTAAAGTTTGACTATGTGAATATTAATTGAGAAGAACGTTTTATGATAGAGAGAGTAATTAAATACGGAGTAAATAATGTTAAAGAATATCCCACATCGGAACTTGAAGAAGAAATAAACCGGTATATAAGCCCTTGAGTTGAACTAACTAATCGATTGGATTCAATCTTTTAAAGTGGTTCAACCCAAGTGTCTTATTATCGAATCTAGTTATCCATATCCCATCCTAAAATTCTATCATGGTATCAGAGCCAGTTTTAGCCCACCTCGTTTGTCAAGGTGTCCGTCTAGACGTTCATTCCTAGCGGCCCGTTTGTCTTTAGCCCAGTTGTCTGTATGGAGTATGTACCCAACGGCCTGTGGCCCGTTTAACACGATTGCTCGTCTGGAAGTCCATACCCATCGGCTCGTGGTTATTTAGGTGTTGGCGTTTAAAAAAAAAGTCAAGGGAATGGGAGTTCATTTGCAAGTGGTCAACCGGTTAGATTCAAAATGGCCCGGTTGTCCACTTGAGGGGGAGTGTTAAAGAATATCCCACATCGGAACTTGAAGAAGAAATAAACCGGTATATAAGCCCTTGAGTTGAACTAACTAATCGATTGGATTCAATCTTTTAAAGTGGTTCAACCCAAGTGTCTTATTACCGAATCCAGTTATCCATATCCCATCTTAAAATTCTATCAAATAACAATAGTACTTCAATTGATAAATAATTTTTTTGAGTCGATTTCGACAAATTTTAATCATCAATTAGATTAAAATTGCTTTGTATATTAACATCCCATAATATGATGTTGCATGTAGTATCAAGACTTGGATTCCACACCCAAGGGACAAATTGGGATAACACTGGATGTGACGTGGAGTGAACCTCTTTCTGATGGTCACGAGGACATTGATGCAGCTCTTACGAACCTTGATTTCACTTATGGCTGGTCCTTTCCATTCCATTCCGATCCCTCATAGTATTTATTAACAACTAGTTTTATTAACAACTAGTGATTGATCAATCATTATGAACTAATTAGTGATATTATTATTGCTCCGTGATTGATTGATTAGGTTTATGGATCCTATGACATATGGTCAGTATCCAAAAAGAATGACGGCGTTAGTCGGTGAACGGTTGCCTAAATTTACATGGGACGAAATTCGGATGCTGAAGAATGCATATGATTTTGTTGGCATTAACTATTACACTTCAACTTATGTCTCTGCCAATTTTACCCCTGACCCAAATCCAAATCATATTAAAGTTTCAACTGATCGGCGTGTTACTTTAACACGTAAGTGCCTTTTAATTACCTTGTGCTGCCCAATAATCCTTGTTTTTAACCATAGAAATTAAAGAATGCCTAGCTAGTTATTAATGATGCCAAGTTTTTAATTGTTCTCAATCAATTATTTGCAGCATATAAGAACGGTATACCCATTGGTGAACAGGCTACTCCAACTTGGTTGCATGTGTACCCAAAAGGAATCTTTGAAATTCTGAAATATACCAAAGATACCTACAGAAATCCGTTAATCTATATCACCGAAAATGGTAATTAAGTGCTTATTAATTAGTGTGTGTATGTGTGTGGGTCTATACATATACGTTACACGTACATGTAGATGGAGTAACAATCTCATTATGTACGAATGCTCATAGCCTTAATTAGGATATATGCATGCAGGAGTTGGTGATCCCGTGGATCTCTCTCCGCAGGATGCAGCTAAGGACACGTGGAGGATAAACTATCACATGAAACATCTTTTCTATGTTCGTCAAGCCATTTGGTAAGTACAATATCTTAATAAACATATTGAAAAGAAATACTATATATAATGACTGGATGTTTATGTATGGGCATGCATGCATGCAGTGAGGAGAACGTGAACGTGAAGGGTTATTTCGCTTGGTCATACATAGACAACCTGGAATGGCAAAGCGGATACGCCGTGAGAATGGGTTTATACAACGTTGATCGCAGTACGAAAGAACTCACGAGAACTCCGAAGTGGTCGGTTAATTGGTTCCATAATTTTCTGAATAAAACTGACAGCTCAGCAAGTGGAAGTATTAATCCCGATGCATGCAGAAGATTAATACCAATACGGCTTGATGAAACTGAGCAGCAACTACCTTGCGCTATCGGAGCTGTAGCTAATTATCCCAAGGTTGCACACGATGAACTTTAAACAATTAGTTCGGGGTGTCGGGCTATATGCCTACATCTAATGATATATGCCCAATAAAATGACATATGTATGTTTAAATAAAGTTTAAAAAAAAACTATCATAATTAATATTGGTAGTTTAATTAATAAAATCTTCTATGAGCAGTATGTCGATGCCTATTTAGTTTCTTTTGATGAATAATTGTTGTGTAGTTCTAAATTCTCATAATAGGAGATGGAAAAAATGAATCAACACTGGTGGGAAATTTAATTATATCAACGGAAGCAATTAATAATATTTTCGTCTTTGTTTTGTCAAAATGGGTGAAATTATATGATCGGTCAATATTATATGAAGCACAACAATAAATAATCAATCGAGCTATAAGTGAGCATCAAGATTTACGTGGAAAACCAAAATCGGGAAAAAAACCAGGAGATTGTAAGCATGGCACCAAAGACCTTCCATTAATCACCAAGAACTTCAGTGGGTATAAATAATAACAACGGTCTCTTAATCAATTAGAGACATACACAATCATCAATTCAAGCACCAACTTGAACACCAAACAACAATAATTTTTTGTCAAATTTAAGAAAAAAAATCCCATAAAAATGCATTAGCAAACAAAGGCTATTTTAACATAATCAAAAGGTCAAAGTAATAATTCCACTTTTGGATATAAAAAAGAGGATGTCAAGAACAACATATATATTAAAATTTCATCCACATGGGAGCACAAATCCGGATTGCCCTTTTCTTTTTCTCTCTTCTCTTATCTCACTCAAACTCTCTCTTTCTCTGTTTTATATCATATCCTACTATATTCGTCTAGTTTGACTTTTTTGAATTAAATTAGATGAAATTTAATATAATTATTAATTACTCTCAATTTGTATTGCATATTAATAAAATAAAATTAAATTTTAAAATTTTTAACAAGATAAATCTAATGGAAGCATAATTTTTTTACTACCTTATATAGGGGTGGGCATTCGGGTCCAGGAACCGCGGGTCGGAACCGAACCGCCAGGTTCGGGCCGAGTTAGGTCCGGGTCGTCTTTTCAAAAATTTAAAACGGTCCGGGTCGGTCCGGTTCCTATAGATTTTAGGGTCGGTCCGGTTCCTCATTTTGAAATTGTTTGGGACCCGGACCGGACCGGTTTTTTTATACTAATATTATTTTTGATATTCTTTTAGTAAATATACGGTATACCCGCATATTCCAATTAATTTTAGTAACTTTTTGGGTCCTTCCATATTCCAATCGTAGTGCAGAACCACAGAAGTGCATAAATCATGTTCAATAAATGAAGCTAATTTCCACTGAATTAGAAAAAAAAGTGTATTATTGAATCAAAAGTGATGTAAAAAAAAAAGCATCCATTCGCTGCATGAGTACAGAATCAAAAGTCCACTGTATATATGTTGTCCATTGTATTTTGACAAAAGGCCACCCAAGTTTAGCATGTCTGTAGTGTATTATTGACATTTATATACTTGTTTTTCTTTTTCAGGATGCTACTGGCCATTCAATTTCAGTCCTTGCATAGCTCAAATTCTCAAATTTTGTTTTTTACAGGTTTTTTGGATTTTTTGAAAGTCATGAAGATTGTCAATTTTGCTCTTTTTAAAACTTATTGACATTATAATGCCAAAATGTGGTTGTCTTCTTTTTGTTGTTGTTGTTGGATGATCATGAGGTGTACACTTTACTCTCATGCCCCTCTTTGTCATTGTTTTTTTCATTTATTCCTCTTTTTTGAACTTTGAAGACATTATTCTATAATTTCTATTTGTTTTGAAGAATGTTAGTATTATGATAGGTTCGGACCCGTTGACCCGTGGAATCGACCCGTTTCAAACAAGCCGGGTTAGGTCCGGTTCCAATTTTAAAATTTTGAAACCCGTTCCGGCCCGGACCGTTTTAATAAAAACAAGCCGAGTCCGGTTTATATAAATTTGGACTCGGACCGGCCCGTGCCCACCTCTAACCTTATACTCCGTATTATAGTTTTCTTTTATTTAAAATCCAAAATTTGTCTAGTTTGGCTTGAAAAAATCAAACTAGATAAACACATGCACTTTGACAAAGGTGGTATTTAATTTTGGCAAGTTTCAATTGGCATTGAACCTTAAGGTCATACGGAGTATATAATACGGAGTCAATCGCAAGCATTATCCGATTAAATTGTTATAATAGTAAAAATAATACGGAGTATATCATAAATACAAAGTATAAAAATAATGTATAATTAGCACGTAACATTTTAGCAATCCATTGACATGAAAACATCAAATGGAGTAAATTGAAATTTGCTATAAAAAAATTACTAGCATTATTATATATTTACAAATTAAAAAAAAAAAGTGGAGTCACTTGACCCCCTTGGGCAGTTGGGCCTGCCCCTAGTTGGACGCACAATTTGTTCCTAGTTTCCCTCTCCATTTCACACTAGCATCCATATCACCATATGTGTCTGATGTTATGGCTGTCCTGCCATGACATTGGTATTTAATGTCAATTGAACCCCATATATTTAACTTATCAGTTTATCTTATTAATAGACCCAACAAAAATTGACTCAAAATTTTACCAAATATTTCTGAGTTTTAAACAGACATTTTGTTAATCGAACTCAAAGATGGCTGAACTTAAAACAACTTGAAAAAGAGTCAAACTTGGGCCAAATAGTGCCGGTACACCTCGTGGTTTGCAACACAGACACCAATACCTCCTCTGTATTAAAAACTTATTTCTAAAGTCTATGTGGTTTCAAAATGCAGCACCCATGCCCACTCTAATCATTTTCTGGCTATTTTTCCGGCAAAGAAGGGGGCATTGATGCATATTTTTTAAACCATAGGTGGTATCCATGCTGATTTTTTTTCTCGCTTGTTTTTGTTTTTTCGATTTTTTCCTTTTTTGTTTCATTTATTAATAATTTTTTTTAAATTTTTTTTTATATTGTTCCTTAAAATATAAAGTAATTTGTTTCAAAAAATTAACATATAATGCATATGTACGTCTCAAATTCACAATTTTTTTTCTGAACAAAAAGTAATTTTTTTTTGAGAAGTTTAAAAAATGAGGAATAAAATAAGAAAAAAAATAATACAAAAATAAAAATGAATATCCTTTTTGGACATCTTGATTCTAAGGACTTTTTTTGGCGTGTCCAATTTTTTTTTTGCATAAGACTTTTTTTTGCGTATTTTAATTTTTTCATTTCGTTTTTTCATATTTTATTTTTTTATTCTGGGGTTTTTATGAACTTTCCAAAAAATTTCTCTAAGTAACAAATAGTGAAAATGTTTAATTTGAGATAGATGTAATGTATCTTAATTTTTTTATATTTATTTTTTTTCAAACACAGAGAATTTTAAAATTTTTAAAATATATAAAAAATTGAAAAATATATTTTGAAAAAAAATTCTAGGAAAAAAAAAGGATAGAAAATATTTAAAAGAAAGTAAAAATATAAATAATAAACGAAAATAAGAAATGAGCACAAATGCCCCTTATGGTTTAAAAATTATGCACCAATGCCCCCTCTTCACCGGATAATGACCGGAAAATGATTAGAGGGGGTGTAGATGTAAGGTTTTGAAACCATGGGGACTTTAGAAATAAATTTTGAAAACAGTGGGGGTATTGGTGACAATTTTTCAAATCACATGGCGCACCGGAGCTATTTGGCCGTCAAACCTGTCCTAATCCAATATGAGTGACCCAATGAAATAATAATTTTTTTAAAACTTATTTATATGAAATATGCTTTGGAGTACGCTTGATTTTCGAGTAAGAACTTTCAAGTCCACATCATTTTTAATAAACTTCAGGGGTTCTCAAAATTTATGATAATGTATTCGGAGGGTACGCGCTCTGTCTATGTGGTCTTTAGAATTGAAATTTTTGGTTAGTTTCACAAATATTAAATTTAACCTTGGAAATTATTATTTTATTAAATTATACTCCGCAATAAAAATTTTCAATTTGTTAAAGTAACAGAACTTTCAATTCTAATGTCTAAATCGATGTAATGTACCCTCTGCGTTTAATATTTCCTCCGTTCCAAAAGATGTTCATATTTCATTTTTTGCGCATATCATAAAATACTTCTACCATATCTTAAATGTCTAAAATTTACAATATTCCTCCTTTATTGTGGGTAAAAGTTAGTTTGAAAGTTTTTTTAAGCGTTTGAGACGGGACAATAGTGTTTAATGGGTTGTGCAGAAAATGAAATAGGAATATCTTTTGGAGACGGAGAAAGTATTACTATCTCAGTATTTTCAAAACTCAGTACGTCTTAAATCAAAAACAGGTCCGATCATTTTTGTGGGGTGCACTTAAAATCAGTTGGGTCGTCCCTAACATAATAAATGCTGCTATACAGTATCTCATTCGCATATATGCTTTGTGAAGAGTAATGCTAGAATCACAAACAAACAGTTCACAAAATTCACAAACTTACCTTTTTAACACTTTCCTAGAAATAAGATGCACTCAAATAATAAAAGATATTTTAATTTAAAATATACAAAAGAAAAATTTGTAAATTTTGTGAACTATATGTTTGTGACTGTAACATTTTCCCTCGGTGAACTGCAGAAATGGAGACGTGATTGAATTTTCTGAGTTTTTTCGGCTCGCCACCAAGCACTGTCCCACTGCATTCAAAAATGACGACTAAATTTATAAGAGCAAAACTAATTTCTATACGTAACAAACCTTCAAAATAATAATAATAATAATAGTAATAATAATAATAATAATAATAATAATAATAATAATAATGAGGATAATGATAAAAATTCTATTCAAAGGCAAAATAATTAATATTACTCCGTAATAAATAAAAAAAGAATGAATTGAAAAATAGTTCTTCATTCTTAATTGCTATGCTAGACAAATTCAATTTGATGTACGATGTACTACGTATAAGTTTTCAACTTGATTTAAAAGAAAATTCAACTTGGTTTATGAAAAATAAAAAAACATGTATGTACTTGATTTTAGGTAATGGCATTAATTCTTTTAACACTAATTGTGACTTCATCCCGTCTCTAAATGATTTACACATTTCACTATTTAAAAATCGCGAGAACTTTTATTTATTTATTTGTTTTTATTGATTATTTGATAAAATAAAATATTCTTGTCACATCTTATTTTGTAAAACTATTGACATACTTTTTAAATATATAAGTTTATTCTTTTATTTATAAATCAATCTTTAAATAAAATGAATTGAAAAATCTTAGAATTCACTTGCCTCCCAACCCAGTTCCCCCTCCTGCCCCCTCCGTACCCTAAAAGTATATTGCCAGGATATGGTGGGAGTGGGAGGGGGCTAGGATGGGTAGGGAGGGGGGTTAGGGACTAGGAACCGTCATTTTTGTAAATGGGACACCGTAGGTATTCCAAACAAACTTGAAACTTGTGTAACCAACTAGTTGAATAATGGCTGAACGGCTCTTCTCCAAACGCAGCCATTGACTCTAATTAGTTGTCAAAATAACGAAACGGCATTTATTTACACACTTTCCCGTAAGATGACTTATATTGAACTGAGTAATCTTAGAGTTACAAACAAACAGTTCACAAAATTTACAAATTTTCCTTTTTAACACTTTCCTAGAAATAAGATGCACTCAAATAATAAAAGATATTTTAATTTAAAATCCACAAAAGGAAAGTTTGTGAATTTTGTGAACTATATGTTTGTGACTCTAGCATTTTCCTATTGAACCATTTGTTATAGACAAATTCTAGGGGTACACCAAAGGTGTACCTCATTTGTCCCTCACTCCTTCCTCTACCACATAAATGGATAAAAAACTTTAAAAAAATTAAATAAATAAAAAGTAGATAAAAATGGGTGGTGAAGAAGGGGGTGGAAGACAAATGGGGTGTACCCCTTGCATTGCTCTTTGTTATAACCTCGTCAAGCCTTCGGATGTCAGACATATATTACCTCTTATTTGTCCAGTTTAACTTTTTTGAGGCAAACTGGATAAATCGTGATATATTTTAACATAAAAAAGGTTTTTATTGGATTTATCGTTTTGAGAACTTTCGAAATTGTATTTAATTATGTTAATATGCAATTTAAATTGAGAGTAATTGGAATTCAAAGTTTGTCCAATTTGACTAAAAAAAGTCAAAACTGGGACAGGGGCAGTATTTTAAAATTATTTTATTTACAAATTAGTAAAAAATTAAAAAGTATCTCATTTTTGTAAAATTTTTTCTCGTTCACTCTTCAGTAAGTCAAACTTTATTCACTATATTTACTTATTTTCATGGTCTATTTCATTAAATGTTGTAATCATGTCACATTTAGGTTTGTAAGTCTTTTGTTGTGCCTGTTAAATATCTACGACTAACTTTGTTTGTTCTTAAATTTTTGTCCATTTTTTATTTTTTTAGGCAAAATTAGTACATTAAGACCATAATTCAAATAAAAGTGGTATTAGATATCGATACAAAAATATTTTTATTAGATTCATATACCATATATATTTTATTTAATTATAAGTCAAAGTTAAAACATAATTAATCAATGCCAGATAATATAACTTACATATTTAAAACATACTGATGAGTACATCAAAAGTTTTACTCCCTCCAATGTTAAAACCTTTTATGTTTTGACTTTTTTGGTCAAACAGTGACATTTCTTATCACAAATCAAACATAATCTAAATAAATAATGATATAAAAATTTGATATGTTAAAACTATATCCTAAGACGAAGTTAATTATACTCCGTATTAAATTTATATCATAATTAAATATACTTTTCTCGGAAATTATGATTAAAGTGTACGGTGTCATTGTTTGACAAAAAAGTTAAAACAAAATATTTTATAGTGAAGGGTGAGAATACAAAACAGGTAGTGACAAGAATATTTCATTTTATCAAATAATTAATGAAAAAACTATATGATAAGATGAACTCGACTATATAGTGAAGGGTGGTAGAACAATATAAATATATTTTACCTCCTAATTATTATGTTACAATTTACTGTGTACTCTCTTTTTGCCTAAACATGTTTTTGTTTCATTTTTTGTGCATCCATATATCCATGAAACACATTTACCCCACATTAAATGTTTAAAGTACTTTTAAAACAACTTCATATACCCTTAATACAGAAGAAATATGGTAACTTATTAGATATTTTAGTTTTGGGAAGAAGTATTTTATCTGATACGCAAAAAATGATTCATAAACATCTTTTTAGTACAAAAAAGGTTTCTAAAACACTACTTTACATCATTTTTTTCTACAAAATGTCAGTATATATACTATAGTCAGTTGTATCCCAGCTCTGTCATGGACGTACTCATGGTGCTGCCTCTTGCATGAGTTGAGGACTCTTTAAAAAAAAAATCTCGATTTTCAAGTAGATGTAGAGTCAGAGTAAGCATACCTTCCCTAGACTTAAGGGCTGTTTGGCAACTTCTGAATAGGTAAGTGCTGAACCAGTAAGAAGTCTGAACCATTAAGTGTTGAACCAGTAAGAGGTCTGAACCACTAAGAGCTAGTATATTACTTAACTATTCAGAATCAAATGTCTAATCAATTCAGATAAGAAGTCTTAACCATTCAGACTCTCTATAATACTTAACCATTCAGAGGCAAATGTCTGAACCATTCAGACATTTGAACCATTAAGAGGCTGAAACAAACAGTTTGAACCATTAAGTGCTGAACCATTCAGACATCTGAGCCATTAAGAGGCTGAAACAAACAACCCCTTACCCCCTTACTTTTGTGGGATTCCACGGAGTTGTTATTTAAGGAAATAAAGGACAAAAGAAAATAATTAGATACTTTTCATCCCCCTTCATTTTGAGAAGGCACACATACGTTGTGTTTGAGCATAATCTAAACATTTAGTATTATCATTTTGAAAAACTTATCTATGTGCATTGTTTATTTGTAGCTATTTTAAAATTAATTTATAATATTAAAATTAAATTTTATCTAAAGTATTAACACTAATAAAAATATTGTTTTCAACCAAGAAGAATCTCAAAAGTTTGTTTCTTTTATGAATAAAAAGACACGTGTGTCCTTAAAAAGAAAAAAACGGGTACATAGAACTAAACCCCTAGAACAAAGCAGTAATGGAAAGGCATTTTAAAATTGATATGTTTAATTTACTCAAAAGAGAATGGAGGGTGGAATTGTACTCCGGAGTAGCAATTAGAGATAGACATGCACCCAACTATATATATATAGAAATTTGAAAAGTCCTAATGACTTTTAATGCGTTTTCCAATTTATATAAGTTTTACTCGGTATTTTTTTTATTTTATATTCTTATTTAAATGAGTTGAAATAATCATAACTCAAAATGTTAAATTCACTCTACCAAACTTTATCCACTTTCTTAATTCTTAGCCTTATCTCGTTACTATTTTCATAAAAGTATAATATCATGTTGTCACATATAATCTCGTAGATCTTTTAGTATATTTTTAATTTTTTAAATATATAATATTTTTTATTTTAAGTTCTGAACCAACATTTCAATATACTCCCTCCGCCCCTAAATAGATTACAATGTTTTTTCTCTCTCCTCTCGATAATTTTTGTTTGTTTATGCGATTTCATTAAGTATTTGATAAAATAAAATATTCTTGTCACCTCTTGTTTTGTAGAACTTTTGACGTAGTTTTTTAATATGTAATTTTTTTATCTTATTGATATACCAATTTGTAAATAAAATAATTTCAAAAAGTAGGAAATTTTACTCCGTAACCCGCAATTTGTAATCAAATTGGGGACGGAGGGAGTATTAAATTAAAAATTACTTCAGGTAAACATAATGAAGCGCAATAGAAATTTAGTTTTAAAAGAGAGTCTGAGTGACTAATGACTATTACTCCTTCCGTCCCATAAAATTTTTCACCTTTCTTTTTTCAACCGTCACAAAAAATATTTCTCATTTCTATTAAAAAATTACTTTTATTTATAGTAATTCTTAACCTACCTATTACATCACATGTTTTACTACTAATCCACTCATCATATTTGCATTTACACATCACATCCAAACACATTTTTAAAAAGTCAACATCAAAATGCACTCATTTTAAATCTTTTAAAAATCAAAACAAGAGATATTTTGTGGGACGGAGAGTGTATTAGAGACTAAACGAAAAGGACTTCGGCCTCTGCGATCACGTGGTGAATTCTATGTGTACGGCCTACGTGGGTGTGTATATATATATATATGGTACGTGATAAAAGATCGAAATAAACAATTTTTAAAAAAAAGGGGGAGAGAAAACCACACAACACAATAATACTTATATTTTCAATAATACTTATATTTTCATACTCCGTAATAATATAGTAGTAATAATGAAAATAATAAAAGATACCAAAAGTTTTGGTGTGTTAAAAGAATTATTGATATTATTAATATTATTATCGTCGTCAAGCATATTGGTGGTGCATGGCTCGTCGTCCACAGCTGAATCCTCGTCAAATAATGTGATCCCCGCCGCCGGCGCCGCCGCCGACGACCCATACCCGTTTTCACCTATAGCCATTGACCCTCTTCATTTTCCGGCTAATTTCTTTTTTGGAACTGCCTCGGCGGCTTATCAAGTAATATCATTATTCCCTTCATTTCTTTTGATTTAGAAAAAATAATATGACTAAAACATACTCCCTCCGTTTCTTAAAATTCTTTCTCTTTCATTTTTTTGTTTTTATCAAAACACTTCCCTTTTCTATTAAAAAACCACTTTTACCCCTACTTTTTCATACCCTACCTATCACATCATACTTTTTCACTAACAACTAAACTATCACATCTTACTTTTACCCATCACATCAATGGCAAAATTGGAAAGTCAACTACTCCGGAGTACAATTTAACACTTCCTTATTTCCACCCAAAGTCAAAAGAGGAACTCTTTTGAGAAACGGAGGTAGTAAGAAAGAGAACAAATTAAGATATTCATGCTTTTATCCTCAAAAAATGGATCTATAATGTCAATATATACTTTTGTAATACTCCGTACCTAAAAACACTGTGGACTGGAAAAGTATACTTTTTGATCCATATATATACGGAGTATATATATGCATTGCAGTCCACCGTGTTTTTAGCTAGGGGTTACAAAAGTGTATATTGGCATTAATCCATTATAGATCCATTTTTTATAGAATAAAAGCATGAATATCTTAATTTGTTCTCTTTGTTATGTTTTAGTGTATATTATATACGGAGTATATATATTCCTATTTTGACTAATTTGTAAATCAGGTGGAAGGAGCTCACAATAGAAGCGGTAAAGGACCCAGTATTTGGGACACATTTTCTCATGAGCATCCAGGTTATAATACTATAAACTAAAACATGTTAATTAGTTCTTAACCTAATACGATCGTCTAATTTAAGTAGTCTTTTTTTTTTTTTTGGCAGAAAGGATTACGGATGGAAGCAATGGAGATGTTGCAGTTGATTTTTATGATAAGTATAAAGTACGTATGGGAGATTTTGATTTTTAAAAGATTCTAAGGAGAGCGTATTTTGAGTGTGACGGATAAAAAATAGGTTTTGATGAGTAAATTAATAGTGAATAGATATGATGTGATATATAAGTTAAGAATTAGAAAGATAAAAATGAATTTAAAATAAAAATGAAAAAAATGTTTTAGAACGAATGAAAAAAAGGCTTCTAGGGATGGAGGGAGTATATAGTACTACTACAATGATCCCACTATAAAAAAAGGTTTGTACGGAGTATATTTTTTGTTTGTGACTCTAATGATTTTTCCGGCCTACATCTCCATCGTCTAAATGTTCGTTTTTTTATGTTTGTTTCGACAAAACTAATTATACATTTTTACATTTAAATCTATAATTTATAATGAGTTGTCTAAGGTATCTTAATAATGGGGTATAAATACTATTTTATTGACATAATTGGGCGGTTTACTCGTTTGAATTTTTTTAAACATTATACGGAGTATTTAAACTCAATTTTTTATTTTTTTTGTCATTGAAATTGAACAACTAAACATGAATATAATGTATACAGGAAGACATCAAGATAATGAGCAGTGAACTTGGAATGAATGCCTTCAGATTCTCCATTTCATGGCCAAGAGTGATCCCTAGTACGCATGTTTTATTATTATTATTATTATTATTATTATTATTATTATTATTATTATTATTATTATTATTATTATTATTAAATGCATATGCGGTTGCAGGTGGAAGGGTTAGCGAAGGAGTGAACGAAGAAGGCATCGCATTTTACAACAGTGTCATCAATGATTCTATAGCCAACGGTAATTAACTACTCCATCCGTCTGGAAATATTATTCTCGTGTTGACTTGGCACGCTTATTAAGGAATAGTTAAAAAATGCAAAATTTTCAAAAAGGCGCATACTATAAACTTTTAAATCTCCTTTTATTATTAAAAAAGTACTAAAAAAGTAGATTTGTGATAAAATAGAAGGGTATTATTAATATTTATCCTTAAAAAGTATACTAAAAAAGGAAATGGGAAGAATATTTCCGGACGGACCAAAAAGGAAAGTGGGAAGAATATTTTCGGACGGAGGGAGTAAATAAAATTATTGAAATGGTAAACGCCGCAGTTTGACATTGTATATTGGTTGCAATGTTCTTTGGCATCATCTGCTCACATCATGAAGGTCTCCATATGACTCGAATGACAATGGTCTCATTTGGAAACAAAATTTAGGGTTTTAGAAAAAATTTTAATCGGGTAAGTTAATTTTGAAAACACTGACATTAAAGGCTACTATCAGACAGTCTTTTTAAAATGTTAACATTAATAAGTAACACTGATGCCAAACGGTGTCAAAATTTCCTCCGGCCTTTTTATAATTAAGCCCTTCCTATAGTTAATATTGATCACGACTGAAAACGGCTTCAACGGTTCCATTCAGCCCCCAAAAATGGTTCTGCTTCAAAATATCATAGCAAATTAAATATAGTGGGGACAATTCTAAGGGGTAGGAACAAGTTTTAATTTGGGTCGGACGGAACAATTTAATAACTCTATAACAATTGGACGGCATACCGACAATTTTCAATTCAAATTATTTAAAAATTGGGAAGGAATTAAAAAATAAAATCTATATATTTAAAATTTACATCAAAAGTTCTACAAAACGTACAAGAAGTTACAAAACTATATCATTTTCTCAAATGGTAACGAAAATAGGTAAAAAATGTGGTCAAAATTTGACTTTGAAATTAGCAAAACAAACAATTTAAATTGAGACGAATGAACCTCTGTAGTAAGTTAGGGAGCAATGTAGTAGTAATATTGGCACTGGTTTTTTGGTTTATCTCAGGATTGGAACCATTTGTGACAATATTCCATTGGGATGTTCCTCAAGCCTTAGAAGACAAGTACGGTGGCTTTTTGAGCCAAAGAATTGTGTAAGTCGTCTCACATAAACTAATAAACAGATCAGAACCGGATGAGAAAGTTCCGGTTTCGGTTCCTCCGTTTTAAAAACCAAGAACACGGCCGTGTTCTCTCCCATACACAATTACATATGTATAACGGGATAAATGAATGAATGAAAACAGGTCTGACTACAAGGATTTCGCGGAACTTTGCTTTCAACGATTTGGGGACAGGGTGAAGCACTGGATCACATTCAATGAGCCATATGAATTCAGCATGGGCGGGTGGGAATCGGGTTCGTCCGCCCCGGGGAGATGCTCGTCATGGGTGAACCGGGCATGCCAAGCCGGTGACTCATCCACAGAACCTTATATCATTGCCCACAATCTCCTCCTCGCCCACGCCCACGCTGTCAACTTATTCAAGACTAAGGTCAGTGAATAATACTCTCTCCATCTCACTTGAATCTTTACATATATTATTCACAAGATCAAACTTTATACACTTTATTTCTCTATTTTTTTTAATCATTAGATAACATAATATAATCATGTCATCTCTAGTTTTATAAATCTTTTAATAATTTTTTTGATATGTAATTTTTATTTTTAAATTTAACACGTACAATCAAATAAATTTAATTGAAAATAAATTAGTCAAGTATCGTAACGCGAACTGGAAAGATTCAAATGAGACGAAGAGTACTCCCTCCCCCCATAAACTTTTTTCCAAATTCATTATCTTGGTCAAAAATTTTAAACTTTGATTAAAAAATTATGAAAAAAGACATTGAATAATCATATAAATTTAGTATCAACTAGTATCACACCCGTGCAGCACGGGTCATAGTTACGATACTAACTTAAGATCATTTTTAGGAATATAAATTGTTATATAATGGAATATAGATATTTCATTATTTTAAAGTACAAAAGTAAAATGATTTACAAATTTTGAAAGACTTCTTTATAAACTACATCACTCGTATGTATAATTTGTGTGAGCATTCACTTCGTTGTATATCAGAATCTTCAAGCCATTGCGATTTATTACTCTTTAAACTGCAACATACACTTTCTCATGACTAAATACCAGTTTCCGTAACAATAATTCAATATGTTTCAGATATTGTTCTTGATAATAATTTAATAATTTGACTTATCTAAGTAATAATTCAACATATTGATGTATTTATTTTAGAATTTGTATTTTTTAATTTTATTTTCGTATTTAAGTGGTACCATTAACTTACCCTATGGTATTTATTTTCTATTTTATTTTAGATCACTTACCATTTTTACACGTATCCATGCTTGTAAATTATAGTATTAATAGTATTTATTTTAGAATACTTATACCATTGTTACATGTTTCCATGCTTATAGTATTAATAGTACAAATTTATAATTTTTTTAATTTTTGAATTTAAATGGTACCATTGGCTTAATGTACCATATTTATTTTTTAATTTATTTTATAGCATTAACCATTTTTACACGTTACCATGCTTGCAAATTGTAGTATTAATTGATAGTATTATTTTGTAGTTTTCTATTTTATTTTTTTATTTAAATGTTATCATTTACTTACCGTACCGTATTTATTTTCTAATATATTTTAGAATACTTATCGTTTTAATAATTATTTTATTTTCTAATTTATTTTAGAACACTTACCATTTATTTTATTTTGTGTTTAAATGGTACCATTTGCTTATCGTGTTGACATACCATTCCGTATTTATTTTCTAATTTTCTAATTTGAACACTTACCTTTTTAAAAAAATCATGTTTTTAAAGTATAGTATTAATATTAATTTTGTAGTTTTTTATTTTATTTTCGTATTTAAATCGTACTAATTAATTACCAAACCACATTATTTTCTAATTTATTTTATAACACTTATCATTTTTAGATGTACTCTCTCTGTCCCTAAATATATTACAATTTTTTTCTCTCCTCTCGATAACTTTTGTTTGTTTACGCGATTTCATTAAGTATTTGATAAAATAAAATATTCTTATCACTTCTTGTTTTGTAGAACTTTTGGCGTAGTTGTTTAATATGTAATTTTTATATCTTATTGATATATCAATTTGTAAATAAAATGATTTCAAAAAGTAAAAAATTTTACTCCGTAACCCGCAATTTGTAATCAAATTGGGGACGGAGGGAGTATTTTATTTTCTCTTTTATTTTAGAACATTGACCTAATTTATTTTAGAAAACTTACCATTTATTTTATTTTCGTTTTTAAATGATGCTAATTGCTTACCATACCATATCTATTTATTTTCTAATTTTCTAATTAGAACATCTGTCATTTTTAAAATGTTTCCATTCTTTTAAATTATAGTATTAATATCAATTTGTAGTTTTTTATTTTATTCTTTTATTTAAATGTTATCATCTACTTACCGTACCATATTTATTTTCTAATCTATTTTAGAAAACTTACCATTTTTACGCATTTGTGCTTGTTAATTATAATATTTTTTAATGATAAATAATTAATTTGTAGTTTGTTTGAAATAAATCATTTTAATCCTGCCCATACTTTATTAATTTGTAATTTTTAAATTTTATTTTAATATTTAAATGGCTGTGTATTTTATTTCCATACTTCAATTCCCCAATGGTTCACTACTATTTAATTTAATTTAAATGCTTAAATGGTGTAACATTTAAATAAAAATAAAAATGAAAACATACTTAAAATGGAAGGAAAACATTAAGGTAAAATAATTAAACTACCATTTATGTTGTCAATACTTTCCATATATGAGTGCCATGCATGGGCAGGAAAAAATTCATGTCTTTTTAAATAATGTATAGATAGATTCATTAAATGTTAAATATTTCTTATAATATATATTCATATATAAATTAATAAATAGAGATATTAAGAGTTAAAGTACTGCATTGGAGGTCGTGAAAAGTCAAATGATAAAGAAATTTATGGACGGAGGAAACTCTAAATCATACGAAATAACTTTTTCGAGCCCTAGACAAATTTTAATCTTCAATTAGATTAAATTTGCTTTATATGTAACTCGTAACATCCAATTTTTGATGATGCATGTAGTATCAAGACTTAGATTCCACGCCCAAGGGCAAGATTGGGATAACACTGGATGTGACATGGAGTATACCTCTTTCTGATAGCCACGAAGACATTGAAGCAGCTCATAGGAACCTTGATTTCACTTTTGGCTGGTCTCTTCCATTCCATTCCCTCATCATTATTACCTAGTTATTAGAGAGCATTGATCATTATGAACTAATTACTATTATTACTCTGTAATTAATTAGGTTTTTGGATCCTATAGTATATGGTCATTATCCAATGACAATGAGGACGTTAGTCCCTAAACGATTGCCTGAATTTACATGGGACCAGAAACAGATGTTGAAGAACTCATATGATTTTGTTGGCATTAACTCTTACACTTCAACTTATGTCTCTGCCAATTTTACCCCCGACCCTAATCCAAACCATATTAGAGTTTCAACTGATAAGCGTGTTACTTTATCAGGTATGTCCCATACCTTATGCATAATCCTTGTTTTTTAACCATAGAAAGAATGTCTGGTTCATAATGTAATGTCTTTAATTATTTCCAATCAATTATTTGCAGACTATAAGAATGGTAAACCCATTGGTGAACAGGTATATGCTTGTCTCAAATTTAAAAAAAAATAATAATTAAGAGTACTGAGTAGAGTATGATTATGTGGATTTACATGATTTGCAGGCTTCTCCAAGTTGGTTGTATGTGTACCCAGAAGGAATTCTTGATGTTCTCAAATATACCAAAGATACCTACAAAAACCCAATAATCTATATCACTGAAAATGGTAATTAGGTGTATGTGTTAGAATATAAAAACTTTTCTTGTACCTACAAAGGCAAGCTTGAGTTTTTTGGTTGAGCTAGTTCACTGGCGTTATGTATACCTGCATGACCATTTCAATTCTGTTTGGTGCGGATCGATGCTCATAGCCTTTAGATATATACATGCAGGAATTGGTGATCCCTTAGATCTCTCTCTGCAAGATGCAGCCAAGGACACGTGGAGGATAAACTATCATGGTCGTCATCTTCTCTATATTCGCCGAGCCATTTGGTAAGAGCAATGTCTTGAACATCCAGCAACAATAAACCTAGTAAAAATCCCATATATAAAGAGTATGATCTCGAAAGGATGTGTATATGCAGACATATTTCAATCTCTCAAAATAAACAAATCCCAACCACACACTTTGTTCTAATCAACACTTTTTTCTTACCAAAATTTCAAGTTAAGTGAATGATATAATAATGACTGGATTTGTGGGCATGCAGCGATTACAAAGTAAGGGTGGAAGGTTACTTTGTTTGGACATACGTAGACAACTTGGAATGGTCAAGCGGATATACCATAAGAATGGGTTTATACAATGTAGACCGCAGCACAAAAGAGTTGACAAGAAGTCCAAAGTGGTCAGCTAAGATATTCCATGATTTCCTGAATAGAAATGGCCACTCCGGTGGAGGAGGTCAAGGTGAGGGTGGTGGTGATGGAATTCTTCCTGATGCTTGCAGAAGATTAATACCAATACGTCCCAAAACTGTTACACATGATGAACTTTAAATAAGTAGTTCCAGTCATTTGGCAGTGTGCCTGCATGTTATGTGTGTGTCTTGTGTTGTACAATAGAATGATATCTGTTTGAATAAATAATCATCATAATTATTATTGGTAATTAATAAAACCTTCTATCAATATGCAATGAGATCTACTATGCACATTGTTTTTGTCTATTTCTTTTGAATAATTGGATTACATATTGAGTATAAGTATGTATAAAAACACTAGCGAATGTCATTTGATGAGGACATATTAATTAGACGGTGTTTGGATTTCAATTTTATTAGTGACAAATATTGATCTATTGTTAAAAGAGGGGTTGTTTGGAGGGACTGGGTGGAGTGCAGGGGATGTGCTAGCGATTGGGCATTTGAGTGAGGGATTAGAGGGGGGTAAGGACCACTTTCGGGTCGAAGGACACATGGTAAGAGCCTCAAATGAACTCAATATCATAATTTGGAGTATTCACTTATCACACACCTGTTTTATTTCTTCTGAACTGTTGAGGGCTTCAAAATTGCTTTCCCTGCTTCAGTTTTACCATCACCTGATGTTATGATTGGTGTTAATAGAGAAGTTAAGGGTGTTACATCATCACACAATCTTCTCGAGCCAGTGAACCCCTGCACAAACAAATGCATTGTTTTCCTTCATATCTCCATAGCTTATAATTTTAATCCCTTACCACTTCAGATAGGTAACAGATTGAATTGGTGATATAATAATAAACATAAAAAAATAGTTTTTTTTCAAACTTACGGACGTCCTAGGGATCCATGGACAAAGCAAATTTCTCATGCCATTGGAATAAGGCACCTGCCCAAGAACATTTATGGGAGTAAACCATCAAAACAGTTGAATAATTTCATCAGAAACTAAACACAAAATTTCAGAGAGTATAAATTCATTTTTTTTCTTTATTATATATGAACGACATTTAATTAAATCCTTATTTTTAAAATATGCAAAAAATATTCATTCCGTGCAACTTCCATTGTGTGATAAACTTTCTCAAGCAGTCTGCACAATATTCATACTTGAACCAGCATTTAAGCTGCTTGTAAAGCTCTTTGGAAACAATGCATCTGCACAACAAGTGGTTACAATCTTCCTCTTCAACTCCACAGAACAAGCATTGGGTATTCAACTCCAAAAACTAACACAATTGGTTTTCTTCATTTTTTTTCTCTAATGGAGTATGTGCATATAGTATATTAAGGTAAAATTTTCTACACGTGCAACACACAGGCTCAAAACTAGTTTCTGGCAAAAAGAATAAACTCAACGCTCAAATCATCAAACCTCAATCTCCAATGCAAAGAATTATTATTACTCCATATTGATTTGTTCGAACAAATGAATACATAACAATGTCTGGTTTCACTCGAGATATAAACATTCTGCTTCCAGAAAAAAAAAGTAAGATTACCTTTAACTGGAGAAGCCTTAGCGTGAAAACAGGAGTTGGAAATCACAGTATGTGTTTTAATTCTGATTTCCATGATAGCGATCACCAATTCTTGCTAATCTTTGGCCCCTTCCCTCTTTCCCAATGTTTCGTCCTTTAATAGAAGCCAAGCGTTCTCTATTTCGAATGGCTGCGGCATGTATGGGAATGCCCCTTCTTAACACTAAGTTCATGAGATAAATGTATTTGTATCTCAAACCTATCAATGGATGCTTCTCAATCAATAAATTCTTATTAAAAGCTTCCCTCAGAACTACCGTTTGTGTGCTAATTTTATTAGACACGTAAAATATCCCTGGGTGATGAGCCAAAGCCTTTTTGAATCTCATTCCAAATCCCAAATAGTCCCCCAAATAGTAAAGATTCTCCTTCTCTGTCTTCTTCGACACTAGCAAGTTGAGTACTTCATGAATCACAGCCACTGCCCACTTCTCTGCCTGGTCGCTACTGGGATTCAAATGGAAAGCATCCTCATATGGAGAAATGTAAGGCAAGTTTTGCCATTCATCAACCCAATTCTTCACCCTCTTCTCCAAATCAAACCCCCTGGGTAAATTCATCGGAAACCTAATGGGTCCTCTCCGTCTAGTCTCAGAATCCTCACCTCTCCACTGTTTTTCCATAACAGATACAGATAAATCATCCCTCCATCTAACCAATTCTAATCCAAATTCTTGGGGACCCAATGGTGAAGGATTATCAGCCACCATGTCACAAATCTGAAAATAATCTGGAAATTCAGGTAGAAAACTGAGTAAATAATCATGGGGCAAGCCCAAATCGAACCTGAACTTGTCAATCACACCCAGAGGGAGTCTTCTAGCTCTGGCGATCATCAGGAGCTTCGCCAGCCTTTCAGCCAAGTCTTTCCGGTAATGCGAAAGGCCTGTGATTAGCATTTCATCGTTGTGCAGAGACAGAGCCTTCGGGGTGAGCTTCACGTGAGGAGTGGATAGCCGCATATTCGGAGGCCGGAAAAGCTTGAAAAGGTAATGATACTTCCGGACGAAATCCAGGGCGGTGGTTGGGAGCCTGAGCTGGGGCCGCAGAGGAGAAATGATTCGGAGCGGTAGGGTTTTGGAGGGTTGGGAGACGATTAATGCCTTGAGACTGAGTAAGGGTTTGAGATTCTTCTCGTTCTCGACTGCCTTGTCGAGGTACGGGTCCCGGACCCACTTTACCCTGGCGTTCAAGAAGGTGCGAGCGCCGGGGAAGGGCTTGGCGGCGGCCATGGCGGCCGTGAAGTGGGATAAAGCCATGGTGGTTACTTCCCTAGCCGCTATTTGGAACTACAAAATTCGAAAAACTCCCGAACGCCGCAGAAGCCAACGCTAATGAAAACACCGATCGGACTCCTCCGCCCACCGAAAAAAAATGCAGCGACGGCGAGTCCGGCTGCCCGGCAGCCTGAAATGCAAAACGTCGCAGCTTCGTCGCTAGCTATGGGTTGCAAACTTGCAGCTTAGCAAAATAGAAAAAAAGAAAATTTATCCCTTTCAAAAATAAGCTTATTTTTCATTGTCACATAATGTGTGAGCTTTAAATTGCCGTGAAGATGCTAAGGATTACTCCGTACTTAACAAAATACTTATTTTCCGTAAATAATTAATCAGTAAGATGATTTTAGGTAAAATCTCTATTTCTTTCATTTTTTAATTTCTAACTTTAAATTTAAATGTATTCTTAAATGGATTTTATGAATAATATCAAATTTAAGTATTTTTTTAGAGTGAAACTAATCATTTTTTCAATAATCGATAATCTGATAATAATAATTTTTTTCATAATGATTTTTCAAAAGTTGTGAAATTGTACAATAAATTATTCTGCACAATAGAATTAATTTATTTACTTCACAACTCACTACATCTCTTTAAAATTACAATTATTTTCTTGAGCGGCACTTAGCATGGTCTTTTGATAGTTGATACCCCGAGTACTATACTATTATTATTTTTAAAAAATGATACTACAAAGTTTGTGAATATTTTTCAATTATTTTCTACTCCATTATCCCTTGTTCCAAAAGATGAAATCACTCACCACAGGCTGAGACCAGTGTTCACTACGTACAAGAAACCCCCTTCATTTTTTGAGAGATTGCTCCACAGAAGACTCAATCATTGATAAGTTGTTCCAAATTCTATTTCTGAGACCAGTTGAGTTGTCCGCGCCCATGCGGGCACATTCATCCCAAAATGTATTATCTCCGTCCGAGAATAAGTTCAAATACATTATTCATAAGTTCAAATTTAATCACTTTTTTACTTATTTTCGTTATTTGTTTAATAAAATACTCCGTAACATAATCATGTCATTTTTTATTTGTAAATCTTTTAAATGATTTTTAAATATGTAATTTTTGAGAACAAATTGAAAGAGTGTGGTTTCCTCCATGGGTGGCCCGGAGGGTGTGCAAAATGACCAACCGCACAAGGTCGCTACAATTTTAGGGCTCAATATTTTTAAATTTATTAATAATTTTAAAGCAAAAACATTCTAAAAATATAAAATAGAGCCCAAAATATAAATTTTGGACCGGATCAATTTTATTTTTTTATTTTTCAGGGCCGGCCCTGGCTTCCTCTTTCTGGTAGTGAAAGCGCTGTGTAATGCTTCAACCAAAATAAACACCGTTTCATAATGTTTCATGAAGTCAACGCATCTTCGAGGAATTATTCACATTTATTTTTAGGGATGAACCATGATGAACACGTGAACAACACTTAGAAAAATTAATACAAAATAACCAAAGAGATATTCATAGGGAGAGTATTCGCCAAAATGGCCCTAAAGTTGGGTGAATCGAATAATCATCTCTTATAATGAACTTAAAAACATCAAGCAGCACATTTAGGCTCTGAATTAGTTTGACAAAAGAAAAAAAAAGATTTAAGACAAAAAATTCAGGCAGATGTTTACCAAGGACGCGACACCACACCAGCTCAAGCAGCAGCAGCAACATCATCATCGGCAACTGGTCTGTTATTCCTAGATTTCGTTCTGCGGGCCCACACTGGAGTCGTCTCGATGAGCTTATGTGGGACCAGGCGGTGTTCGCGTTTCGTGAGCTTCCGGAACTTGACGACTTTCAGTTTAGCAATCTCAGCCTCCTCGTCGGGAGTGATCTCCCTGACCACAACTGTCAGTCTACACCGTGGCCTTTCCATTACACCAGACCTGCCCTTGGCGTGGTAAGATACCCTCTTCAGATAGAGTCCTTTCCCCACAAATGCCTCCGCTACACCCAAAAAAATTAGACAAGTGAGCACAATAATTTTGGGACGAGAGCATATAAACAAAATGGAACAAAGAGAGAACGTTCTGCTTCATTTTACCAACAAGAAGACGGGCTGGGTCTAACCCATGATTGTGGGTAGCATTTGCTCGAGCTGAATGTATAACCTGTACATGGCATAACAAGTTCATGTTATACAGCACGAATGACAGAAGGTAAATGATAAGATGGTTCATGAAGACTGGTCTCTGGATTCATCCCCTCGCATAAGCCAGCAGAAGAGGAATTATTTGATGTATCAAGGCTCTTTTTTGTTTCCACGAAAGTAAATTTTGGAAAAGAAAGCAGGAAAATAAACTGTTTTATGTACAATATAAGGTTTGGCCCACAAAAATAGAAAATCTAGTGTGGAATATAACTTCCCTCTCCATAGACGCCTAAACAGTCTAGGAGAATCTGGTGCCGCACAAAGTCTTTCATGGATAATGATTTCATGTGGCAAATTTAGGAAAAACTTACATGGAAAATACTTTCTTGGGCCAAACACATGAAATCTGAATAAGATTTTCAAAAATTATATTCTCGGCTAAACAAATGGACCCCATGTTCTTCCTCGCATGACTACAAATTGATCGGTTATATCAATCTGCTGCCTCACCTGGTAAACTGTTTTTGCAGCTCGCTTGACTGTCACTTGCAACTGTAACAACGCATCTTCAACACGCATTCCACGAACTAATGCAGCCACCAGGTTTACTTTTTTTGGACTCTGCATAACGTTCCCAATAAAAAAGGAGAAAGCTAAAAATATTTATTCAAAACAATGTACTATAGCCAAAACAAGTGCACTACTATCCACAAAAACCAATAAACTAAAAAGATAACCTTAGCCTCAATTTTGATTAGAAGAATCAATTGTGTGACTTATTACATTAATACCTCCTTTTTTAGTGCAATTAGAGGCAACAAAATATATAATAGTGCAAACAAATATAAATCTTTATCTAATAGGAGGCAATAGAAGCAAAAGGTTGGATCATATATCAAACCAGACAATCAGACATATTTAATACTCCGTATTTCAGAAACATCCCACCTAGTACAGGTCGGGTAGGCTACGATTTACGAAAACCTTACCTCTACCCTTAGGAAAAGAAAGACTGTTTCCGTGAAGACCCCAGCAAGCAGCGAAAATAAATACAAGCAAGAGGCTAGATCATGTCAAACGCTACAAAGTAAGCTATCAGACTGAGTAGGTGATAGCTTTCTATTGTCAGATTTCATTAAGTTACGAAGGGTCTGGTATTCACTCATCACACACCTGTTTTATTCCTTTCAAAACTGCCTGAACTGTAGAGGGCTTCAAGATTGCTTTCCCAGCCTCAGTTTTACCATCACCTGATGTTATTTGTGGTGTTAATAGGGAAGATACGGGTGTTGCATCATCGCGCAATGCTCTCGAGCCAGAGAGCCCCTGCATAAAGATATGCATTGTTTTCCTTCATATCTCTAGAGCGTATAATTATAATCCCCAACCACATCAGATAGGTAACGTATTAGATTGGTGATTTAATCATAAACAAAAAAACAGCCTTTTTTCAAACTTACAGATGTCTGTAGATATTGGAATGACGTCCTTGGGATGCATGGACGAAGCAAATTTCTCATACTATTGGAATAAGATACCTGCCCTAGAACATTCATGGGAGCCAACCATCAAGGAAATTAAGTAATGCATCAGAAATTAAAAACAAAATTTCAGAGAGCATAAGGTCATTGTTTTCTTTATTTCTGTAAAAAAGAGTAAATTCAAAGCTCAAACCATCAAATCTCAATCTTCAATGCGGATGCAAAGAAATTATTACTACTCCGTATTAGTTTGTTCTAACCAATGAATACATAACCATTTCTGGTTTCACTCGTGATATAGTCAGAAATACAAATTCTGCTTCAAGAAAAAAAGTAAGATTACCGATAACTGGAGAAGCCTTAGCGTGAAAGCAGGAGTTGGAAATCACAGTATGTGGATGTCCAAATCGTCTCCCAGCCTGACGCAGCAAGGAAGGCAGATTCCGATGCCATCCGACCATTTCTTCAGGTTGGGGAAGTGTTTACAGAACGAGAATTCCAGTAAAACTATTGACCTGCAACAGAACAAACGGAGCCAATAAATTCCGGTAAAGCTACTAAGCCCTAAACCCTGCTAATAAACCAAATTGACCTGCTAGGAAACGAAATTCCGATAAAACTATCGACCTGCTATAGTGCTAGTAAACGATTAATCTGCAAATCTCATCTTAGCATCTGATTGAAAATAAACGTATAGATTTTACTCGAATCTGAAAAATAACCTTAGGATACAAAAATACTGAGTAAAGACATACCGGATCGAATCGAGCTGTTCAGGCAGATCGGAGAAGAAGGATGGCCGCTTCAATGAAATGCCGGAGGCCTAGACACCGCTACGCAAGGAGGAGGATGCGTCGCCTGAGATGTCGACGAACACTTTAATCCCGTTTCTGGGAACAAAATGAAAATTGTTTAGGGTAAGGTCTTCTATGGGAGAGTAATTTTTACTACTCTCCCAAATTATTTGCTTCATTTTGCTTTTTTATGATCGTAATTAATAAATTTTGATTATTAATTGAATAAAATTTATATTAAATTTTAATAAAAAATATTTTTATTGGCTAAATTTTGTTAAATAGTTTCAAAATATCCATCCATATTTTTATTTGATTAAGGTCATGTTTAACATCAGCATTAGAGGTTAGCGTTAGCGTTTTGAAAAGCTAATCGAAAATATTGTTTCCAAAAAAGGCCTAGTATATCATGTACTCCCATCGTCTCTATTTTGATTACAATTTGTGGAAAACAAAGAAAAATCTCGATTTTTTTCAATTCTTTTTATTTAAAGATTGAGACATAAGTAAAAAATAAATTTCACATATTTAAAAACTACATCAAAAATTTTACAAAATAAGAGGTAACAAGAATAATTTATTTTATCAAACAATAAATGAAAATAATAAATTAACAAAAATTATCGTGATTTTGAAATAGTAAACATTGTAACCAAATATGAGCAGGAGAGAGTATTTTTTAGTAAATAATAGATCAAAGATCGATCTTGATTGACTCTAAGAAATTAAAACTTGAAAAATACTTTGGACAGATGAAAGAGTATTTAAAAACCTAGGGGTATTTTTTGTTCCATTTTTTAAAAATTTAGTAGTTCATGTCATTTCTTTTTCTTTTTTTTTGGCATAAACTTTTCTAAATTAAAAAAAGATCTTTAGATTCCATTTTTTTTGTATCCGGTCAAAAAAAAATCTCATTTTAAAGATATAATGCAGTTTAAGTCCAATTGAAAAAATATACTACAATTTGTTCACAAAAATTGTTCTTCATAGCAATGAACTGGTGAAGTCTCCAAAAGACTCAAAAATAACACTTTTCGATGCTTTCATATTCAAACCTGCACACATTTTCAACTCTTTCACCAAAGTTTATACACTCCATTTAAAAATAAATTAAAAATTATATAAAACAAATGGTAAATAGTTTTCTCTATATTAAAAGTTCTATAAAAATACGGAGTATATTTCATTAGTGCTGCAAATAACTTTAATTTTTCTTTTTTGTCTATCCCAAAATTAACTTCATTTTCCTTTTAAGAAAAAGAATATGTATCTAAAAAAAATTCTCTCATTAACAAGTTCTAATCACACAGGTTTTTATTTTTCAGTATTTTTTTATACTCCCTGTTGGATGAAATTAATCTCAAGAGTTTCATACATGACGTCAAGAAAGTACACAACACTCCCCTCTAAAGCCTCTACAGAGTGTGCTTTCAAGAGGATGAAAGTGTTTATAAGATTTAAAAGGTGTTTGTGAGGGCGGTGAGTCTTGAAAAACAAATGCACTAAATCAGAAGTAGAAAGCAATTATTCCGAGCTTTGGTGAAAATCACTTCTAGATCACTATTTACACTTCTAAAACCACAATCCATAATCTAAAGCTGATTGGAAAGCACTTAAAATTGTGTTTCAATAAAGTCGAAGTTCAAAAGCTCTTTTCAAAGACTCTCAAACACCCTCTTAAGCTTTAATCCAAACACACATTCCCCAACTGCTTGCACATACCTCTCTATATTTGAAATATCTTTCCTAGGATAGATAGAACTTAGTGGGAGCAACAAAACACATTATACATTAGTCCACATGTCTCTTCAACAATGTTGTCCCAAGACTGCCTTCCACAGACAACTAAGCGGTAAAGAATGACCGTGAAATGTATGAGCGCACATAGAGAGAGACTATGATGAGAGAGTTGGCTTAGAGTGTGAGAGAGAACAACAAAACACTACCAACTCCCAAAAAGAGGGTCGGTTCATGTCATGCTATGACACTGAACACCAATGTCACATGAATCGAGGTGCCCAAAATGATCCAACTAATGAGCACGGGTCATCTTCATCTTAGGCATGCCCTTCTTCAATTGACGGGCACGGTCTTTAGCCTCTTTCTTGCGAATAGCCTCTGCACTTAGCTTAGCTTCTGCCTCTTCCAACTTCTTCCTCTGCTCTGCCTTCTTCCTCTGCAAAGCTTCTTGCCTTGCATTCTGCAGTTCCTTGTAGAACTCTTGTGCAACCTTAAGCCGTGCTACTTCTGCTTTGGAACGAGCCTGAATTCTCACAATTTCAGTGCAGTTTATAGCAATAACACCAGCAGCAATAATAATACAGAGTAATAATGTTTGCTATTGGGAGTTTCAAATTCTGATATACTACTTACGTGTGAGCTGAGCTTGTATTTCCCGATTAAATCAATGTAATAGGGTACAAGAGCAATCAGTCGGGTCATATCAGCCATGTCATTAGCCTTGGGAAGTGCAAACTTGAAAACCAACATCTTCTTGTGAGAGCCTATGTGCTGATCTGAGAAGTGCATTGAGATGAATCCCTCCCTGAATTTCTCCAATGCCTTTTCACCAAATACCTGCATGAGAGTACACACGTAAGGGGCATTGCTTTCTCAAACCATATGCTTTAATAGAATTCAAGCTTCAAGAACTATACGGGTTGTCCACTTGCCATAACTAATTTAGAATGCAGTCAGATGAAGAAGCATAAGATTTAATGAATGATATCCATTTACAAACACTCCAGCTTATACTTTTAGCCTCCTTCACATCAATTATAAGATTGATTAAACAACAACAACAACAACCCAGTCAAATCCCACAAGAGCATGGTCTGGGGATGGTGTGTACTTGGAGGTAAAATTTTGGAAGAAGTGGAGGATAAAGATAAATTCAGTAATAACTACGGGCATGTGTATCAATATTTTACTTTGCATAATTACGAATTGGATAGGAAGTTATTGATGGGTACTCAAGTGCAGACCCTTCACCCCGAAAGCTAGGTATAGTAGGTAAAGAGTGGGTATTGCCCCAACATAAGTATCAATCGAGTAATCTGCAATTAGAACGATACTCCATCTTTGTTCTATTCAGTAAATTAGTTGAAGTTTAGGAGTTGGTAATTACTTTTTTCAAAACACTAACCATGGTCAAATTCTGAATTCCTGTTTCTCGTGATGCAAATAACTCTCATCACTACATACATAAAAACAAAACAAAAATCACCGAGTTTTATTGGTGCTAAAGACATGATTTGCATCTTATTTTAGGCAACACTTTACACCATAATTTCTCAAAGAGCAGATATTAGTTACTTGAGTGTCCTGCCAGATTAATGATCCTTTAAACACATTATCTTTTAAAGTAGCAAAACAAATAACAACAGATTCTAGACATAGCATAGCAATTTATTGAGTGTCCTACCAGGTTAATTTCTCAGTAGCAGATTTAACACATTAAAGGCAAGAGGCAAACATTCACTACTAAACAGAAAGAAAATTGTGTAGTAGGGGGTAGAAAATGTTCAAATGGTTTGAAAAACATGCCTGTTCAAGAACGACTTCAGTGATCAAATCCCCGGCCACCTCCTTTGACTCTGAAACCACAACCAACTCATCGGCCACCCATTTCCTCCCACCACCAGCAGGTGGCGCCACCACTCCAGCATATCTCTGTAGATCCCTCACCTCCTTCTGCATTGTTTTGGCCAATTTCTTCCTTGCCACAGCAAACACCACATGATCCATGGCATCATCATTCATATACACCTCGAATGTTATCTCATCTTTGCATGGAACCACCATGTTATACAGCTTGGAGATCAGATCGTGCCTGCTCTTGAGCTCCATAGTAGCTAGCAGTCCCTGGCAATATCTCCTCCCACTCGCGTAGAACTTGAACACATTCTGCCCTTCTTTCAGCAATAGCGGAGAGTCATCTGTCTCTCCAACACCCAATAAACTGAAATTTTTCTCGAATATCGAGTCCTTGGTTGCAAATTTTGTTGCCCAGGCAAGTGCAATGTTCTCATTTTCTCTCTTCCCGGCGAAATAGTTAATGACGAACACGATTAAAAACGATACGCACACAATCTCCACTGTATACGACGACGGCGACTTGGATTCTATTGTAGGAGGAGACTCAGATCCAGAGCTGGCATTCGAATTCGGATCTGATTCTGAATCACCAACAGTTTCAGTAAGCGATTCAAAGTGCACGTGCTGCGGAATCCCTTCGAACTCATCCTCATCCCAGTAATCAAAAGATGCTGATGAAGGTTTCTGATCGGACGGGGCAACGATGTGCGGCTCTGACACGGGAGGACCATGGTGAGATTCGATAGGGTCAGAGACGGAGAGTGTGGTGGTGGTAGGTGGAGGAGGGAGATCGAGGTCGGATAAGGAATCCTCGTTCGGATCGAGAAACTCGTCAGCTTCGTCGGCGTCGAAGCCCTCGAAGTGGCGGTGCTGTGACGCGGATGCGAGTGAGAGGTGGTGGAGGAGGAGGGAGACGACTGAGACGGCGGCGATGAGGTATAAGCGAGTATCGCCTCGGGGGAAGAATACGGAGAAGATGGGGGAGATGATCGGAGAAGATGATCGCCTCGCCATTAGAGCGTAGATTCCAACTGGAATTCAAGTGCTGCAAGTTGTTTTGCAACCCTACGATATTATACTGTAAACCTATTAAATCCTAATCAAATTGTTTTAGAGTCATGCTTATTGATCCAAATATTTGATTCTCACTCTTTAACAAGGACATTACATGCCTGTTTGGAAATAGCGTTAGAGATTAGCGTTAACATTTTAGATAAAATTTTAACGATGCAGATTACTTTGAAAATGCTAACGCTAAATGCTTCTCGTAGATAGCATTTTCAAAACGCTAACGCTAATCGCTAAAACTATTCCCAAACAGGCTCTACAAATGTGGAGCGGTGTTGAGTGTATGTAAGAATGGAGTTAACGAGTGAGATTCAGATATTGGAGTTAAAACAAAGTTTTAGAGCATGTTTTAATACAAAGTATTAGAGCATGTTTTGACTTCTTGAGACTTCAAACATGCTTGTTCCCCTGTCGGTGAACATACACAATTCAGTGCCTACTGACAAGACATTATAATATGTTGGTTTTCTTTGATAGCTCTCCATCACTAAAGAATCACATGGACCGCTTCAACGAAAAAACATTGTTGCTGAGGAATTCCAACTAAACCACCAATCTTGAAAAATTGTCCGACAAGGGTTGTTCTATATAGACAGACAACTCTTTCTTTTGGGGGCAGTAAGAAAAATCATCGTTTCAGGTGTTTGAAAAGAATGATGTTTCCCCTGTTTGTTTGAATTCGATGAAGGTTCGAAAAAATGACGTCCTTTAATTTGCTTGACTGATTATTCGGCAGATTTGAAAAGCATGAAGTCTTTGTTGAAGAAAAAATTGAAATGTCTTGATGGCACTGGGACAACGATGGGAGTGACTTCCTCAAGTTTTGTTTCAATCTTTTGTTGTCTTGGCATGCAGAATCATCATGCTCAAACTTGAGAAGGGTGTTGGCGTGAGATGTTGACAAAAGAAGAAAACAGAATCCCTATAAGATTCAATTTAATTAGTATCTTGAAGAGGTTTTCCTTTACTTCTTTTAGTAGAAATATAATTATGATAAAAATAAAAGTTTAGTTATTTGTTTTCTTCTTTTAAAAAAGGAATTGACTTTTTGTTATCATCAAAACAATTCAATACAAAAATATTTTACCATTGTTATCAATAAAAACTAACCCCAAAAAAGCAAAAAAAAAAAACGTGAACTAACGCAGTGTTTGGTTGGAGGTAGGTGGAGGTAGGGTGAGGTGAGATTTAGGGGCTACCTTGTTTGGGGAATCAATCGGAGAAGGTAGCCGAAGGTAGGGGGAGGTAGCTTAGCCGCAGAACAGTGATAAAAATCCGCCCGCCGATTCTCCGGTAACTTGAGGTAGGTTTTGCGTTTTCCTTCCTTGTCCTCCTCCTCTTCTTCTTCTTTTTCTCCTTCTTTTCTTCTTTTTCCTCCTCCTCGGATTCCACTTCTTCCGTTTTTGCGACTGACTTCCAGGATTTCGCAGGGGTTGTTTCTCCTTCTTCTCAGATTTCTTTTGCTTTCAATCTATTTTTGTAATTGATGGCCACTGGAGAAGGAAATAACCAAATTACTTAGGATTATTTAAGTAATTTTATGTGTTCCTTTTCTTACATTACCTACTAAATATCCAAACACAATTTTTTAATTTCTTACATTTACTCTACCTATCTTACATTACCTACTTTCAATTACCTACCTCAAAAGTTAGGTGATTATACGTCTTGGAAAAATTGGCAAAGAAACAAAAACAAGGCAAAGAACACATGTGAACTAAGTTAGGCTTCGTGCTCAAAATAGTTAGGTCATTACGTTTTGAAAAAAAATTGACAAAGAGAGAAAAAATAGGGCCCAACCGGGTTCGAACCGGTGACCTCTTGATCTGCAGTCAAATGCTCTACCACTGAGCTATGGACCCCTTTGTTACCTTTATTTAAAATCTTCGTAAATATTCTGTATTCGGTAATCAATAGCCACCATCCCACTTACCCTTTACACTAGAAAGTAGAAACTAATCGCCGATCAGTTGATCAGTTGATCTCCTCTCATTGGTATTGTCGCCGTCCGGATATCAAATCGCCGATCAGTTGATCTCCTCTCCTCTGGCCTACGGCGGCTCTGCCGTATCACGCACTAACACCTGTTAGTACTTACGGAGTAGTATATAAACATCTTATACGGAGTAGTATATTCTTTCTTCTTTATTTACATTATCAAATTTTAATTATACTCCGTATTATTTACCTGTTTTCACTATCCGTTTAAAAAAATAATATAGTTTTGTCATCTCTTTTATTTTGTAAAACTTTTAATGTAATTTTTAAATATATAATGTATATGTTTTAATTCTATACAAGTTTTTAAATAAATTGAGTTTTAAAAAGAAGTTCAAATAAATATCAGAAATAAAAGCATACGAATTTCGAATGAAAAAAACGAAACTGTTTTTCTCTCACTTTCTCGCTAGACTCGAAAAATTTTCATTTTCCCTCTTCTTAGTAGATTTTTTCATCTCATTTTTTTTCTTTCTTTTTTTTTCTCTTCTCTATCCAAACAAGAAAATTTATTTTCCATTTTATTTTTTTCTCATTTAATTTTCTTGAGCCAAATCTATCTTTTTTAAAAGTGTTTTATTTTGATACCAATATTTAAATAAAAATAAAAAAAACTACATATTTTAGAACTATATCAAAAACTCTATAAAATAAAATATAAATAGAATGAACTATTTTAAAAAATAATCCACAAAAATACATACAGAGCATATAAAGAAAAAATTATCGAAATGATTATAATTAGAGAAAATATCATATATAGTCCTTTATAACAGAAAGTTTTCCATATTTAATTTTTTTATTATCAAATATTACGCATGCATGTAGTCCTTCTTTTACATGTACATTTAAATAAATAATTCTTTTTGACATACTGTCATATTGACTATTGATGGTGTTCGAAAGCTAAAAATGTAATTTGATATCAACTTTATCTCTATTAACGTATTCGTATGTAGGTTAGACAGACAACATAATAATAATGACTACAAATGTGGACTAGGATATCGACGAAAGGCTATTGGCCTATTTGGAAATATTGTTAGAGATTAGCGTTAGCGTTTTGGATAAGATTTTAACGGTGTAGATTACTTAGAAAATGCCAACGCTAAATGCTGCTCGTAGATAGCTTTTTCAAAATGCTAACGATAATTTCTAACGTTATTCATAAACATGCTCTAGATCTGTAGACTATAATTATAGTAGAAAGCGACTTGAATTCACAAATAATGCATCAGAAGCAGCACCTAAAGTTGTACTCCTTTCGTCCCCTGAAACATGGGAGTTTTGCTTTTTAGGAGGGATTTAAGGGGAGTGTATTTTGGTATTGAATTTCTAAAAATATCCTTTGACGTGATGAGTAAAAGTATGATTTGATGGATAGATTATTAGTAAAAAGGTATGGTGTGATAGTTAGAGTATGAAAAAGTAAGGGGTAAAAGTGACTTTTTAATAGAAATGAGAAGTGTTTTGTGAGACGAGTAAAAAAAGAAAGGAGAAAGGTTTTATGGGATGGAGGGAGTATATAACAAAAAAATATGATCAATATGAAATTACACTTTTAACATACAAATTAACACCGTAGGATAGAAGATAAAAAAAATTATAAAAAGATATCCATAAAAAAAAACACCAAAATAATACGAGTATTTGATACTCCCTACGTCCTATATCTTTCTTCCCGGTTCGCAAAACGAAGAAAAATCCCAAGTTTTTTCAATCTATTTTATTTAAATATTGGTATAGAAATAAAAAATAAAACATACATATTTAAAAACTACATCAAAAGTTCAACAAAACAAGTGGTGACAAGAATATTTTATTTTATCATATAGGCCATGAAAAAATACAAATAAATATAAATTCCCGTGAAATTAGAATAATGTTCTGAGAAGAAAGTTTTAGGACGAGGGAGTAGTAAAATTCTAAAGTGGAAAAATCCTCTATTCTTGGAAAGAGAGGGACTAAGAATTTGGCCAAAGCCCAAAAAACTTCACCCGAAAGCGAGCCTGTTCGTCTGTGTTTTCCTTTTTTTCACGATTTTCGAGCTTTCCAAAGCATTCCGAAATGGCGTTGAACCCTCAACATCCCATTTGTTATCGCGGGAACCAACGGATCGTCGGATCTCCGTCCCCCTCAGCTTCTACCTGCTCTTCGTCGTCCTACGCCGCCGCCTTTCCCCATCCTCCTCCTTTCAAGGTACGAAATCACATACATAAGCACGCTCACGTATACTAGTTCGGTCTCCTGATTAATTAATTGCTTTAGTAACTGCAGAGTTCTAGATTTGTCTTGGCTAGGGTTTCACTCTTCAGGCCGCAGCGCAATCCTCTGCGGCAGCCATCATCATGTTCGCCTCAAACTATTGATTCTTCTAGCAATCTCAAGCGGCGACCACAAGGTGATTTCCATTTTCTCTTTTTCGTTTATTTCATTTAGAGAAAAGTGCACCGTTTACACCCAAATTCTTTGGAAATTGCATGGTTTAACATTAAAAGGTGCAACGCTTATCCTCGAACTCTTTGAAAATTGCACAATTTACGCCTTAATATTAAAAAGTGCACCAAATAATACTGAACAATTTAAAATGTTGCACTGTTGGTCCTAAAATGCTAGATAGGAAGTGTGTTGCTCCCACACATGGGAATTGTGAGTATGATTCATCTGGCCATTGTTAATTCTCCAAAGCACCGTTCCCCAACATTATCGTCTTTATTTAAATGTTCAGAGGTAAACCGTGCAATTTCTGAAGATTTTAGGGGTATTTGGTGCACTTTTTAATGTTCACGGATAAACCATGCAATTTTTGAAGAATTCAGGAGTATTTGGTGCACTTTTTAATATTCAGGGGGTAAACCGTGTAATTTCCGGGGGTAAATGGTGTACTTTTATCCTTTCATTGATAATCATTTCCTTAGATTTGCTATAGAGATCGTATATTTTTTTTAAAAAAATTATTTTATCTTTAGGCCTTTCAATATTTTTTCTTTGTGAATTAGAAAAGGGATATCTTAATTGTCTCATGTTTATGTAGTTTTATTCTTTCCCTGATTGCTTAATTATTCTGAGTGGACTTTTGTTTTCGATCTTCAGTTTAATGTTTCCACTTTCCATCAAGTACATAGTAATAGGAGGATTAGGAGTATATATATTGTGCTTGAGACTATTGAATGTGGAATTGCTTTCGTTGCAGTTGTGAAGGCCGTTACAACTTCCGATTCTGCAGTGGACTTACCATTGACTGCAGAAAATGTCGAGAGCGTATTGGATGAGATTCGGCCTTATCTCATCGCCGATGGTGGAAATGTGGCATTGCATGAGATTGATGGCAATGTTGTGAAGTTGAAACTGCAGGGAGCATGTGGCTCATGCCCTAGTTCTGTAGTTACAATGAAAATGGGCATTGAGCGCCGTTTGATGGAAAAGATACCAGAGGTGTTTGCTGTTGAATCCATCCCAGATGAAGAAAGTGGCCTTGAGCTTAATGAAGAGAATATAGAAAAGGTGATGGTTTTTTTAAGTCTTGTATATATTTATTTATTTTAGTTTTTAGAATTAGTCCCATATTTGGAATAAGTACATAAAGTATCTGAAGTGCTTGTTTGAAAGCAAAATGGAGAGATGACTCTGAACTTCCATTTGCATTTGCATAACACTGCTATACCAAACCAAACATACCTAGTATATCCCACTGACCCACTCAGAAGTAGGGTTTGAGGTCAAGGTGTACACATACCTTACCTCTATCCAAAGGAGTAGAGATACCAATTCTGAGAGGATTCGGCTAACAATCAAACGGAGCACGGGAAGTGTAAAGGTACAAAAAAAGAACGAGTTAAACTGATTGTCATAGTTGTAAATAAATGCACAATTGCACATGCTTAGTGTTGATCTGCGATGAGATGGTAACCAAGAGATATAGCATATTAACATGATAGTAATAGGAATGGTAGCGGAGGAACTAGATTGAAACTTGGGGCTCATTTTTTCAAATTTCGGTGATGAGCATTATTGAGTAAATCAAAATAAACCAATTGTGGCTACCAAGGGGAGCCTAGCCTTATTTCAGGGATAAGCTAGCTTAAGAAATTTTGAAGTATAAATGAAGTCAATTTGGGCTTTAGGCTGATCCTGCTAGATTTAGTTAGGGTAACGCTCAGATCGTCCGCAAGATGCAAAGACATCATGTGCTGCATGTTTAAACTGTTACTCTCAGCAATCGGGCTTTTAAAGTGTAGAAAACATGACAGGTACTTGAAGAAATAAGACCGTACCTGGTAGGGGCAGCAGGTGGAAGTTTGGAGCTGGTGGCCATAGAAGATCCCATTGTAAAGCTCCGGATCACAGGTCCTGCCGCAAGTGTTATGACCGTTCGCGTGGCTGTAACTCAGAAGCTCCGCGAGAAAATCCCAACAATCGCCGGTGTTCAGCTCTTGTAGTCGTAATAGACTCACACATACCCTACATTTTTCTTCCTTAGCGTAAATGGCAATAGAAGTGTTTATGTGCTTATCAGAAAACCTTTTGACTTGGCACTTGTGTCTGTACAGTTGTGCTTCATCCGTTTATTGTGCTGCTACAAGTCTACAACAGACATTTACAAATTATCACATCATCTTGTATTTGCCATTGCAGGGGTGGGATCGGGATGAACCCCGAGTACCGAAATTCCAATCCCGATTAGAGTATAAAACTCTTCTCGAATTATGTAAGAGCTTGTTCGCTTCGTGTAATAAAGTTGTAACTTCCAAAAAAATAGTTGTGTATGTTCCCGATCAATGGTGATTTAAATCTTTCTTATTTGATCTGAAATTCTCTAATATGATCTTCATTTTAATAAAATAAGTTATTGCAAGGGTCAGACACGGTTTGGAACCGGAACCGAAACCAGAATTGGTACTGAAACTCCCTGGAACCGGCACTCGTTTAGTTTTTCTTATTATGGTTTTGTTGTTTTTATGCTTATTTTCAATTTGTTTGAGGTTGATTCACAATATTTACTATTAAAAAAAGAGTTTGCGGTCAATTATATATCCCTCTGTTCCAATTTGACTTATCTTTATATTATTTACATGGTCAAATTTTAATTGTGTTCTTTGCCCATTTTTGCTACTATTTCTTTGAGAAAATCAAATCATGTTGTCACTTTTTTTGTAGATTTTTTATGAAGTTTTTTAAATATATAAATTTTATTATTTAATTCTATACAAATTTTCAAATAAATTGAAATGAAAATAACTTCAATCAAATTGCATAAACATGTGATTTAATTTAGACAGGGGGAGTAAAATTTTTAAACCAAAAATTTTATACGGAGTAAAATTATATTCAAAACGGGATAAAAACCGTGACCGGACTATTTCTTTATACTATTTTCGATCTAATAACGCACAATGACTCAATACATCTGCTTCTGATGAAGCTCGAATCCGGTTGAACTTTCTCATTAATCTTGGAAAGTGATCTTCTTAGCACTTAAGCTAAAGGAATTCTTTATATGACCCACATAAATGTTGCTAGAACTATACCAAGTTAATTTTAAAAAGGTAAATTTTAATATTTCATATCACCGGAGTCGAAAGTACTCCGATATAGGGAGTACTTCTAGAAAGTACGGAGTATAAAGTAATTTACCAACATTCCAAAATTTTTTAGTTTTTTTTAAATTGAGAAATAATACAAATGACTCAAATTCTTTTTCAAATTAAAATGATAATCTGTAATTTTTTTATTCAGAAAAACTAACTAAGTTAAACAAGAAATTATTTTAGAGACTCAAGTAATGACAATTTATCTTTGTCTATGAAAAGTTTTTTCCATTACAAAAACTAGATCTTTTAATTTTTTTCCTTTCTATTTTTTTCACATTTTTTCAAATTTCTTAAAAATCAAACAAAAACAAAATTGAATTGTGTTGAAACATTCCAATTTTAACACCAACTTTCAAATCACTCTTGTTAGAGAATAATAGCATGAATGTCTCTAAACAAGAGATGGGAATCAAAATTGCCAAATTGAGTAACATTCCCATTTTTTGAAAGAAATTTATTTTCCAATTTATAATTATTTTTCCTTGTACGAGTGGAGTTGCCCTCCTGCAGGAGAATTGTTGAGAAAAGAAAACAGATTCGTGTAGTTACGGTGGAGTGGTTAACTCTCTCATCCATTCCGTCACGATCGCCGATCACTCGCTTCACCAGCTGTTTCCAGCTCGCCATCTTCCGTCCGTCTTTCTTCCGCCGCCGGCACCCCCGCCGCTCGATTAGCCAATAGCCGTCCCGATTCGTTGTCTCTCGCCGATAGTGAATTTAATCGGCGTTGCTCTAGTGTTCAGTATTTGTGTTGGTGCTACTTATCGTGAAGAATGATGATAGGGGAGGTTACTAGGGGTTAGGGCTTTTGATTTGATGGCTTCATCGGAAGAATCGGCGTCTGCTTCGATCCCTCAAAGTTTAAGGGATGCCTACATGGGGATGTCCTCGGACAACGTCAAGGGATTGGTTCTAGCTTTATCGTCCAGCTTATTCATCGGCGCTAGCTTCATTGTTAAGAAAAAAGGGTTAAAAAAGGCTGCAGCTTATGGCATCAGGGCCGGTACTGTTCATATCCTCATTTCTATCTTCTGCAGATTTTATTGCTACGTATTTCGTTTGATTGAGACGTGATTTAGCTACAAAAGCTAATCAAATTGGACTGACACTTCTATTGCTGTTAGGGAAAACTGCTAATTTGCTTTGGTTGTTCCTTGTTCGATAAGAGTCATTTTTTTACAGTGGACTAAATAAATATGAAACATTAAACTTTACTCGCTTCCTACTTTCTAAGGAGTTTTTGGCATTAAATGCCACAACCTCTTTGTTTTAAGAGTGGTAAGCTTGTGTACATCTTGACCCCTTGACCCCAACTGAGTTGGGATTATAATGTTTGTTTGTTTGCAAAATATTGAAGACGTTTTACATGTCTGAATAGGTAAAGACGTGACTATTTGCATACTCCCTTCGTCCCAACTCCCAAATTAAGTTTCCACTTTGACTTAATGAAGATTAATAAAAGTTTTGAAAAAAAGTTGAAAATTAGAAGGAGAGTTGTTAGAATTTGTTTAGAAAAGAGAGAAGGATTTTGGATCACATATCCTTTTACCAAAAAGGGAAAGAGAAAAAAAGAAAGTGGGGAAACTTTTGTGGAATGGAGAAAGTATTTAAGGATGTCCTAGCTGTAATTTGAACTTCAGGCAGAAACATCTCAACTCAGCAGAGTGTTCATGCTGGAGTGACTACTTATAGCTCATGTAGTTCATTCTCTAGTTCATTATCTAGATAGATCATTGGAAGTGAATAGGTTTGAGGCCAACTTCTTCCTCCTGTTTTTAGTTTGGTCAGCTGGTGGTTAATATTGAGATGGTTGGTAGCACGTACCCTTGCTGAGAGTAGTTTTTTCTAGCATACTTGTTATATGAGATGATTTAGATGCAATGCATATCCATTTCCATGGAAATTGATAATGCGAGTAACAAAAATCGCTTCAGTAGTGATCGGAAGAAGTCTGTTATCTATTTGTAGAGTTGAATTATGCCCAAGCCCATAAAGATTCATTTTACTTGAACTTGGTGTTTCTTCAAAAGTAGCTAACTTTCGAATCTACATCCAAAGGTCATTTATTGAATAATGATCAAGGTTATAATGATCAGCTGGCTATACAAATCAAATCAAAGGAGTAATGATATTTGAATTTCTCATATGACTTCTAGCTTCCCTATATAATAACAACACATTTTAAATATCACTCTCTATTTCCTTCTCACATGCGCTTTCAAAGGGATTGTGTTGCTATCGTAACTTGAGACTACTTGAGAGCTGCGATTATCTCTAATTATAGGACAAGGCATCTATGCATATTTATACTTCAACAACAACAAAGATCTACCCAGTTAAGTCTCACAACTAATGTTTGGGAGGTGGGTGAATGGATGCCTTACTAGAACAAAGCACACATATTATAATAATCCAATACGGGGAAGCTGTTTATGAAAGACCCCGGCTCACTAGGACAAAGTAAACATATTAGAATAGTCCAACAAGCAAAAGTAAATGGAAACCACTATAAGATTGTGGGACCATGGAGAAAGAAACACTACTAACACACAAATAAAGAGCAGCAAAGCAAACATCTCATTGTACCTAGCTATCCTCGAGAACTCTAGTCGGCTAATCACACATCACAAAAGAAGGAAAATTCCAATAACTCAAATGCCCTACAACTTTAATTCTTGACCTCTATAACATCGCTTCACATTGCTCATCCTCTATCGAAGCCACTCTCACTTTGTCGCGAATATCATTGTTCTTAAACCCATTCCTCCGAGTATGTTGGCATATCCACTTAAGCATTCACAATTTCACATATGTGCCAACCTCATTTTCTGCACATGGATCTTCTTTACCGGACAATATTTTGCTTCATACAACTTATCCGGACTAATTGTCTCGGCATGAATCCAAATTGATTCATGAAAATAGGCACACCCATACTCATCATGTTCTCCATTATTTGTTCCCAAACCCTCATGGTATTGTGGAGTAATTTGATTCCCCTAAATTTGTTACAGTTTTGGATGATACCTTTGACTTTATACAACAGAATCATCGTGCTCCCTGCCATTCTTGGGGTATCTTAACCGTTTTTAAAATGACATTACCAACTCTTTTCACCACACCATTTGTCCATCCCTACTCTGCCTGCAATCTTCCAAAACTCAGTTGTGACTTGTGATCTCGTCCCCTCTGATCGCTCTCCCTCTACTCATCCTGCTAATAGCTTCAACTTCCTCCACCTTTCGTCCGGTTCTCTTTATATTTTATACTTGTCACCTAGGTTCTTGAGAGTTATTTGCTGCATATGATTCCTGGCATAATTATGCATTAGGTTGACTGATTACATATAAACAGCCACCTTGTTGTCTCCTTGATGTTCATATTCAAATTGTACTTCTGGCATTAATGTTAATACATGACTACTAATTGCACCTTAAGTCCATAAATAATGAAGCAATGCATATCTTTCCCGTTAGCATTTTAAGATGCAGTACTTTTTCCATTTAATCTATTTAATCATGTTTGACAGGAGTGGGAGGATATTCATACTTAATTGAGCCGCTTTGGTGGGTTGGCATGATAACCAGTGAGTTACGCATTATGAGACTTTCATTTACGTTTTCATATACTGGATATACTTGTACATTGCACCCTCACTACTTTTCGTTTGTGAGACACTGAGATTGAATGGAAATGGATGTCTAATGGGTTGCTGTTGTTGCAACAGTGGTTGTAGGAGAAATTGCAAATTTTGCAGCTTATGCGTTTGCACCAGCAATTCTGGTCACTCCTCTTGGTGCACTTAGCATCATCATAAGGTATGTCAGAAATTCATTTTAAGATCTCTCTCTCTCTCTCTCTCTCTCTCTCTCTTATGAGCTGTTTACAATTGCAGTGCAGTGCTTGCACACATTATTTTGCGAGAGAAGCTACATATATTTGGCATTCTTGGTTGTGCATTATGTGTCGTGGGGTCAACCACAATTGTTTTGCATGCTCCTCAAGAACGGCAGATTGAGTCTGTGAAAGAAGTGTGGGATCTAGCTACCGAGCCAGGTACTGTATTTATGTTAATAATACCTTATGGATTGGTTGAATTGGCATGGTTCATGCTCGCTTCTTATGTGACCATGTGACCCGTTTTTCTAAATCTTTACCATGCAACTACTGATGTCACTCAGGAATCTATTTCTTGCAGGCTTTCTTTTTTATGCAGCTGTTGTGATAATAGCTGTTTTAATCATCATATTTTGCTACATACCAAAATATGGACAGACACACATAATGTGCTATATTGGAGTTTGTTCACTAGTAGGTTCATTATCGGTATGTATGAAGAGATTCCGGTGGCTTATGGATTTTTTTTCTATCTCTGTGCATATAATTGTTCCCAAGGTAAATTTTCATCTGAGCCACCTTTTTTTAACAGGTGATGAGTGTCAAAGCAATTGGTATTGCTTTAAAGCTGACATTGTCTGGAATGAATCAACTAATATATCCACAGACCTGGGCATTTACTTTGGTCGTCCTGGTTTGTGTGCTTACACAAATGAATTATTTAAATATGGTAATTATCCTTCCTTCAACATCTCACTAGTCTTCTTTTTTCAATAATATAGTACAGAGTATATTACAAAAAACACCATGAGACCTAGTCTGAAACTATACACAGAAAATACATGGAGATTTGGTTATGAAATTATTCTGACTGTTTCTTCACTTCTTGATGGGTTGTGCCTTCCTTAGGTGTTGCATATGCTATAATAATCATTATTTTTATGTTTGCAAATGCATTTTGTTCCGTGCTTTATGCATGCAAGGTTCTATTGAATCCTGTTGAGTTCTTTAATACTTTCTTCAATCCACACTTCAATCCTGTTGGCAATAATTTGTCTATTTTGTACTTCCTATTTCCCCCGATAATCAGTATTTTTGCTAATTCTGAATGCAGGCTCTTGACACATTCAACACAGCAGTTGTGTCACCGATTTACTATGTTATGTTTACATCTCTAACCATCTTGGCTAGTGTGATCATGTTCAAGGTAATGTCATTTCCCACTTTGGGCTTTACATGATTACGAATCGAGATGCCCACTGAAAGTTGCTAAAAGTCGATCAATAGTTTCTATGTGTACATTTGTTCGGTAGTTTTTGATGACACATCCTTCATTTTCCTTCATATTTCTGTTTGTGTGCACATTAGGACTGGGATAGGCAGAACCCCACACAAATAGTGACAGAAATGTGTGGGTTTGTGACCATACTTTCCGGGACCTTTCTCCTACACAAAACCAAAGACATGGCTGAAGGTATACACACATATGGCTTTTAATATTTAGTTAAAGTTATTACCGCAGTCACAACCAATGTGGTCTGGATTTCATTGGTTTAGTTACTAGTTTTTCACCCAAACACTGCGTGCGATACAGGTTCCACATCACGACTCTCCAAACACACCGACGAGGAGGATGGTTTTGGTCAAGAAGGCGTCCCTTTGAAACAACGGCAAGACGCATCAAGATCCCCTTAATGTAATCTCGATTTTCTTTTTTTTCTCTTTTTTTTGTTCATTTACCTTTTTCCTCATCAAGAACACACTTACTTAGCTTGTGTGACATTGTTGTATTTACTACTGAGAAATAGTTACCGGAGTAGTAAGTGCAGATGAAAGAAAGGGCCTTTTGTTTTTTTTACCCTCCCCATTGCTATAGAAAGAAAAAAGAGATCTTGTCCGAATATCTCGACATCCAAAACACAAGTTAAAAGAGTGCTACGAATACGGGTATATTCTTCTCTCTGTTTTTTTTTTTTTTTGAAATTGAAATTTATTGAACCAAACTAAACCTGAATTAAGCATCGTTTCGTTCAATTTATTTTTTCTGCTTATTGCTTATTCTTATTATAATCAGATCAGACTAGATCAGAAATAACTTTACTTATAACTGCAATCAGATCAGATTTTTAAAGAATCAGATCAGATCAAGCGAACAGAACACAACTTTAGTCATCATACTTTCTTTTTAATCTAACCCAAAATAATTGTCCTATTTCTTTAATTATTTAATAAAGTAAAGAATATGTAGTTCACAATTTTTCTCATACTTATAAATAAATTTAACTAGTTACCTTTTACTTCTAAATGCATATCTTATATTATGTGAAGTCAAATTGGCTTCTAATATAAATCTAAGAGAAGTTTTAATTTGGAGTAAAATGAAAAGTGGTGAAATAAACCTAAATATTCTCTTCGTTCCGAAATGGTTTACCTCTTTATTATTATGAATTCTTGATAATTTTTTGTTTGTTTGCATGTTTTTTGATCATTTAATAAAATAAAATATTTTTTATCTTTTATTTTGTAGATATTTTGATAAATGTTTTAAATATGTGAGTTTTACTTCCTCCGTCCCAGAGTATTCGTCCAGTTTGACTTTTTCAAGTCAAACTGACAAACTTAAATCATCAATTACTCTCAATTTGTATTGCGTATTAACACAATAGAATAAATTTTTGAAAGTTCTAAACAAGATATATATTAAAATCATTTTTATACTAATATGCATTATAAATTTTACTTAATTAAGACTCAAAGTTCATCCAATTTGTCTCTAAAAAATCAAACTTGACGAATACTCCGGGACGGAGGTAGTATTTTTATTTGTATAATAATTTGTAAATAGAATTATGTTTAAAATAATAAGATTTTGCACGTCGTTCGAATAAGAAATATCATTTTAGAATGAAGAGAGTATGACCTATACAATCGTAAACTAAAATCATTGAAGTGAATTGAGAAAAAAAAGTTCATATGGTAAGACTAGTGTATTTGCAATGTTAATTAGTGTTAATAAATTTACTATTCATGCAAACTTTGTAATAATTTTATTAATTTTCTTTCAGTCCACTATTCATGCATGCAAATTTTAAAATGATCTTATTTAAAAAAATTAGAATAAATTCCATAATTGGTTCTTTATAACAGGGGGTTTTCATATTTAGTCCTCTATTATCAAATATTACCCCCGTAGTCCTTTTTTTAAGGGTAACTTTCCACAAATGGTCCTTTTTTTGATCTTCTTCCTTGTTGGTGTTAATTTAAAGGCTAAAAGTATAATTTGACATCAACATTATGTCTAGTGACGTGTTCTGATATTGGTTAAGCGGATAACACAAAAATAATGACTATGATTGTGCGCTAGAATTCTGACGAAAGATCACATTTGTAGACTATGATTGTCGTAAAAAGTGATTGTAATTCACAAACGACGCAAACGGATCAGCCTTTGGAATTGTGTATGACAAAAAAGATATATCAT